ACGCGGACCGTCGCAATGCCGCGCGCGCTCGACGCATTTTCCTGTCAATCGCGAACGAATTGTCGCCGGTTATATTAATTAGCGGCGGCCCTCCGGGAATCGTTACCTACTGGATAATTGCGATCGTCGAGTTCGATCGACGTAGCATCCTTCCAGGCATGCGCTCGCGCCGGCCCCGCGTGTGCTGATTCGTTTTGCCGCGAGAATAACGAGAGAAGAAAATTAATCATAAATCGATGCGCGCCGGGGTCTTTCGGACGCCGAAAACAAGCTACGGTGAGTTTCATCTCTTGCTTGCACCTTCACTTTCGTGAATTGCAAGTTATTACGGGATGACAACGCGGGGCACCGCGAGTAATCGTCGAGAGGGCAGAGGAAAAAAAGGCGATTCGCTCAGCCTCGAGATAAGCCCGGCGTTAAATCGAACGTGACGAGAAATCGGAATGGCCGGTGTAACGCGAGTTAGAACCTGCGTTGATGTTTGATTGAGACGTCACTCAAACGCGTATGTTGACTGATAGCCCTATTAACACGCTGAACGCACTATCTATGTTTGCCGGCGCGCGCTATGTATGCCCCCGAGTACGATCAAACTCGCAGCGATTTCCAAATATTTTATTACTTCCTTTATTATTTCACAGTTTCACGCTTTATAGTACGATAATGGAAGCGTGTTTTGCAATTCGCTGTCGATCGGATTGATGAAAAACTCGCGTACGCGCGAGAAGAACTCGATTAACGTGCGAGTCCCCGTCGTAATGAATTCAACGGGCAAGTGAAGCGGGCGTTCGCGCGAGGGCCCCGGCGACGACAAAACTATAATTTTACGCGACGGAAGGGTCACGGGGGGGGGGGAGAGGGGGCGACGACGGCGACGCCGACGTCGGCGACCACATCTGAGCGGAATGCCGACATCGACAGGTATCTCGCAATCGGCAACATAACCGAGGAAAAGTTCGGCAACAGTTCCTGACGAGTGTATCCGTCGTCGTGCTCGATCCATTAGTGTAATTGCAATTTATTTAGTAATTACTTTAATTAGTGAGCACCTACCCGTGCTTCAAGAGGTTCGCCGGAGTTGCATCAACGAAGAGAGAAACGGGGAAAGGGCGGCGGAACACGAGTGGCGGGAAGGACGGGGAGGGGGTGAGGAGGGCAGCGAGGTAGGTAGGGTACTAACGGAATTAATTAATGAATTAGCCTTAAGGGATAAGGCGTAAAAACAAGCGGAGAATCGGGTTGAGGCGGCGCGGACGAGCGCCCGATTAAAATAAGTGGACTAAGTAAGCGAGTAACTAGCTAAGTGACGACTAACTGCCGTCGCGTCGGAAAAGAAGAGCGGAGCGGATTCTCCGTGAGAATTAATGGCGCTCTCTCCCCGCTTTCGTCCTACCGTCCCGAAATCCTTTCTTATCCGAGTCGCTTTAATACAACCGGCCGGCCTGATGCAAATTAAACTACCTTCGGAAATCCTTTATCGCGCTGCCGCGCTTAAAACGAACACGCGCGCAAATACTAACTCGATCGTCGACAATCGACTTACACAGAGAGAGAGAGATCTCTCTCTCTCTCTCTCTCTCTCTTTCTCTCTCTCAACGACCGTTTATTTTCAAAATAACAACGCGGAAAGATTCAGATAAGACATCCGTCGTGAGATAACGTTCGGAAAGTCGGGGGTCAGGCGCCGACGAGTCGCGACAGCGTGCGTAGAAATAATAATAGCGTTCGTAAATATTCCGTTTCTTTTGGAACAGATATTTAACAAATATGTAGAATGTTGCGCTGAATTGTGACACAATTGGATTGTACATACATTTCAATTTTACAATCTATAAATTCAAGTAAACGCGCGGTAATGCATGTATAAATAAATTCACGCGTCTGTGTATATATTTTTGCTCAGTTTTGTACTATCAATAATTTCTGCTTAGCCGCGAAATAACTTCTGTTTAGCAGCTAATAATTTCGCGCTACCAAGCCTGCCTCATTCGCTCGCTACAATAGGAAGCCTCCGTGTTTTTTTTTTTTTCTATAAAACTGGCTCTAGCTACAAATCAGTTTCACGTGACTCGCGCGGTCGGAGTGGCGACACACTCGTGTGGAAATAATGCCACTAATGGAGAAAAATCGCCCAGGTGTGATAACGCGCTGCCTCCGTATCCGCTAATGTGCTACACGATGTGCTACAACTACCCGCGCAATTAAGCGAAACATGTCGTCGGGACGCGGGAAAAAAAAAGGACCGACGGATGTTGTCATTAGTGAATCTTTTTCGCAGCGAACAATAAGCGTAAGTGGATGCGTAATATGAAAAATTGTTAAAATATATAATACACTAAATGTGCGACGAAAATGAGAGACAATGGAAAAAAAAAGAGGGGGCGAGCTAATTATGCAGTAACGCAGTTTTCGGAGAAATTGCATTATCAAGAAAAGTGCTGGAAAAACGGCGAAAAACGCGTTCGATCAGCTTCCGGCGGTCTAACTGGGGTAGCAAGTGCGCGATGCGATCCGTCGGGATCATGTTGACCTGATTTTCCGCGAGATTAATCCATGATTCACTTTCCAAATCGCTCCCAGCCTCGACACGAGCTTTATTTTTCCGCCCTCTTTTATCCCCATCAACGTACGCGGCGATCCATATAACGAGAGGGAGGAACGGGAGAGCCGACGTAATCGAAGGATCTGCTGGATCCTTCGAATTGGAGGGAATCGAGGGACTGTAAAATTTTCATCCGTGCCACCGGGGCAACGCTGGAATGTCGCCACTGACCGCTCGCAAGGAATTCATTCCTGCTCGCAGCCGCCTACACTAGGGGAAAAAAATTTAGTGCTTTTAACAAAATTTTATAGTTGAAGCTTTTGTTCGTAGCGATGAAATATTTTGAAAATTAGATTCCAAATCTATTCGCTCTCTTCAGCCAAATATTTGTTCCTAGTGTAATAATTCGGATAAAGGAGGAATGCTTCTGCGATCGTAATGAGGAATAATTGAAACAAAAGGGACGAACGGCCTTCTTCTTTTCACGCGCATTCGATCGGTGCTTCGCTCAAAAGTATTTCACGATCCTGCAGATTTTGCGTATTGCAGTTAGCGTATAATGCGCCCTTTTTGTTCGCCCCTCTCAGATTATTTCCAATTGACCGTCGCAATCTATAAAAACGGGCGCTGCCGCGTATAAAAAGAAGGATACGACACTTAATTAATACTCGGGACACACGTAAATTTTATTCCGTCGAGGGCCGAAGCGCAAAAACGAAACGCGGGAGTGCAGTTAATTAATTATTCCCTTATTACGCTACAGCGGGGCGAGGGCGCGCGGGGAAGTGGGCACGCGGAGGAAGGGGGAGGGTTTTGGGAAGAGAACGAGACTGCAGTCGTCTCATTTCTGACTACCTAGCGAAAATTTCACTAAAGTGCTGCTCATGTGGAAATGACATAATTCGCGTGCGGCAAGGGCAATTGGCAGTAATTAAAGTGGGGCGGAGAGAGAGGGGAGGCCGGAGGGCAGCGGGGCATGAATGAAATTAAGGCGGGTAGCGAAGATGACCGTTTACATGGGTCCACGTCTGCTCGACTCGCTCTCTGTGCCGCGACAATAAAACGAATTTGCATACGGGACAACTCGCCCCCGGACGAATGTCCCGTGTCTGCCTCTCGAGCGGAACATTTTCCTCGGACGGACGAACGGAGTCATCGGCGCGCTCGAAAAGGCTGAATTGCCGTGTATTAAGAATTTATTAGTCGACGTTACCCGAATCACAAGTGTCGCGACAACAGCCGCGGCCTGCGTGTAGAACGAATTTTGCAGATGTGCGGCACAAGAATTATTATTAATCCCGCGAATATTTGTTCTGCGAAAGGGGCATTTATGCGCTTGAAAAATAAAAAGTTATTCCTTTCCCATTCGCTCACCGCTACGCTATCTAATATCCAATTTGTCCGGCAAATTGCTTTCGAAATTTCATGCATCCCGAGTGGAAATTTTGCATAATGGCGCGACAACGTCTGGAGCGTTTAAAAGATTTAAAACGGACACAAAGCAAAAATGCAAGAACATTAGCAAGTAGGCGAATGCCGGGGAGAAATGCACCGCAGCATTTTTGCGGCGAGCGGTCGGACTCGTTGGTGTGCGCGCTCGGTCGCGCTATAACGTATTTGCGAGATCCGCCGCGCTGATGGACATATAATGCGACGTGTGATTGTAGGCCCGCCAATCGCGGCCGATTGTGCCCCTGAAGGCCCGCTAACTATCTCAAACTAGCCCCATTCAAGCCTCGCGACCTCTCTCTATCCGCTTCTATCCGTCTATATCCGTCTCTGCAGCCCGCCACCTCAGCCACTCTACCCCTTTTGCTCTCCCAACCCCCCGGGTCCCTTTCGACCCTCCCTCCGCCGTCCGTTTCTGCACTCCGAAGTGAGCGCGAACGCGTGGGTCTACGCGCTCGGTTCCTTGCGTTTATATGGTACACGTTTTTTAATATATTTATATTATATATATATATATATATATATCTACAACGTAACACATACACACACACACATATATATATATATATATATATATATATAATATAATATAAGCCACGTAGGACGTACGTGGAAATTCCGAATCTATCAGCCGCCCAGACGAATGCAAATGGCGCATGAAGCGCGCTTAATAAAGCCCGCGTACGCAACTTGCGAATCGCAATTTTCTTTAGGACGTGCCGCCCTTCACGATCGCGCGTGGATTTCGTGCGAAAAATTTCTGGCTTTCGCGCTTCCGTGCGAATCGACGCGATTCATCGGGATATTAAATAAATGCATCATTTAGCGGTGGCGTTTCAACGAATTCGTGTCTTGAATATAGCGAATACGCGACTTGATCGCATCCATCGCGAACAAAAAAGTAAAAAAAAATGATTGTTTTACACTCGGACATTGCACTTTGAAAAATTATCAAGATAAAGTGTGGCAGAGATTGAAACGTTGAATAGCTGCAATTATGAGCATTTTATTGTTTCTACTTATTTTATGAAAAATACACTATAAAATATTTTCATATTTTATAAAAAAATATCAATAAAACATACATTATGTATCGCATTGTCTATTGCGGACGTATATATATATCTATATGGATATATCAAAAATATATCATTTTTTATTTTCTCTTTTACGCATCTAACTTGCTGGAAGTTAGGACAGTATAAAGTAGCATACTTTGTAGATATAATCAATTAATTACAATTTGAACTTTGAGTTGGACGATCCGAACAATTATTAGACAACTGTTCGGTTTCATAATGACCACGCAGAAATTTACGTTACACTTTCGTTTTATCAAAAATCCTTAAATGCATAGTCTAACAAAAGCATAAAAATAAAAATTGTATTACAAAAAGAATTTGAAAATCTTGCGATTGCTAATTTAGTATATCTATAGATTGATCACGATGGCATTGTCTCTTGCTCTTCTTTCTGCTGAGAAACATCGTGATGCGATTTTCGACGAATGACGACGCTTGATAATAAATTCATTGGCACTTGAGGATCACTCGATATCGGCACACACAATCCGTCTACGTCATTTTGCAATTTTTGTTGCGGTAACCATCTATAAATCAAATAGCGACATTTCTTTTGGTTGTGATAAAAGTTTCCAGACGAGTCTATTACCTATGAATCACGGGAGAGAGCAAATTCTTGTCGATCGACGAAGGGTCCCTCGCACCTGTTATCCAGGTGACCATTCCGCCTACCAAAAGTACCATCAGCGTGCCAATAGGGGCGACCCAATGGTAGGACAATCGGTATAACGGGAACACGTCATCTTCGCTGAACAATACGCGCGAGTTAGTCGGAATTCATCCGAAATAAAATAGCTCTTTATGCTCCGTTACACATTTTTACGCGACGTTAACAATCACTCGTTCAAACAATATTAATACATTCTTTTTTATTAATTTGGAATAAATTTATATATCTGACAAATTTTTTATTATTGCATTTATTTTCTTTGTGCAATTATCATAAATATAAGCAATTAAATTCTCAATTATTATTTGTTATTAGAATTCCAAAACTTACAATTGGAGCGTAAAAAATTAAAAGTATTAATTGCAATAAAAACACAATGATAGGACAAATTTTTTAAATTTGTTGTGCGTAATAGCGAATGAATTGAGTTGAATTAAATAGAAAATTCCAGTAAAAATGACTCACTTGATTAATTCGAATTGCTTCGAGAAGTCGCTGCTAGCATTCCCCGCGCACTGTGGAACTGGAAGTTTCTTTGGCATAACAAGACCGGAAGCGATAGCCGCATTGGATCCGAAGCTAACCCACCCAGACATTATAAATCCTGCAATGGTACCAATAAAGGCACCCTGAGAAATAATAGAACTTGTTTAAAAGATAATTCGTTCATTTAAGAATTAATCAGTTTTCATTTCGTACCTTGGAATTCGCCCACGGGAACAAGAGCCCCAGAGTGAAAACGCCGAACGAAGTTCCAGCGGCGATGGCGGCCAAACTGTTTGTCACCTAAATCATAATTGCGATAACGTCTCAAAATTTTTAAACAGATTACAGTAGAGTGACAAAATCCGGACACTCACGGCTAAAACCCCTCCCAACTTTTCGATAAGGAAAAGTAAGCTTAACGCCAAGAGGCCGAGCAGGACAACAAGGATTTTCACAAAAATAGTAGAGCAACGATCGCTAGGCTTCATTTTAAAGCAGCCCTTGACAAAGTCCTCCAGAATCACGACAGATGTCGAGTTGAAGCCCACTGATAACGAACTACGGTAGAAAAAAGAAAAGTTCTGATGACAAATAGATAGCTAAACATCACGAGCATTAATAATAGCCAATTTTCTCATTTGCTTATCAGAGTTCGTTCAAAAATCAATCTCTCCTACATTCAAAAAAATATTTCGCTGATGTAGTTAGATTTCTAGATATCGCAACAAGAATGTATCGCTATTTTTCGTATCTGTGAAAACATTGTTTGTCACATATAGAATTTATAGCAGTAATGTTCTAGCAATAGCTTCTGAAAAATTTAGGTACCATTGCTAAATGTTATTCATTGCATGATCTAACACGTGATTGATCTTATATAGATAGGCGCTTTAGAGAAACTTTCTTTTTAAAGTTCACAAACAATACAGATATATATTCTGTTTCTGTCATCTAAACTGATTAAGTAATTACATATGCAATATCACAACAGTTGCTAATCATTTGTCTGTTTTAGTTAATTTTTTACACCTATAAAATTTTAGCTATTATTGCAAGATCATTTTTTTGAGTGTATCGTCGTTTGCATTTGTTGATCCGTTCCGCAAAGGCAACTCGACAAATAATCATTATATCTTATGATATTTCATTATTGCGTTAATGATATTAATTAACCGATACCTGAGCGCCGCGCCAAAAATTCCGGAAATAAAGAGGCCGGGTATTCCGTGCAAATGGTGGGCGATCTCCATGACATAAGCCGGCAACAGTTGATCATCGGCTGTAATTAAACCGGTAACTCTTGGATCGCATTTCGGCGGTGACCACCAAGCAAGGAGGACCAGTCCGCACCAGCAGCATATTGAGATAAACACCATTATGCTGACGGTAAATATCGCGATGGATCTGCAATCGTGATACAAAGATTTGCAAGTTACGTTAAAATAGATACATGAGCACAAATCAATGTTTTCCACATTTCTCGTTATCCCTCACTCAAAATAATATTTCGCTGATGTAGTTAGATTTCTAAATATCGCAACAAGAATGTATCGCTATTTTTCGTATCTGTGAAAACATTGTTTGTCACATACAGAATTTATAGCAGTAATGTTCTAGCAATAGCTTCTGAAAAATTTAGGTACCATTGCTAAATGTTATTCATTGCATGATCTAACACGTGATTGATCTTATATAGATAGGCGCTTTAGAGAAACTTTCTTTTTCAAGTTCACAAACAATACAGATATATATTCTGTTTCTGTCATCTAAACTTATTAAGTAATTACATATGCAATATCACAACAGTTGCTAATCATTTATCTGTTTTAGTTAATTTTTTACACCTAGAAAATTTTAGCTATTATTGCAAGATCATTTTTTTGAGTGCTACATTATTAACGTGGCAGCAACGTATTCACTTACACTTGAGATATTTTCGTACTTTTTAACGACTTGTATCGTTGCACCATGGTTTGATTGACGGCGATGTACGCGGTGTTGTACAGCCAGGAGCCAAACAGCACCGTCCAAACAGTGTGCCGCGTGTACGGTGACGGATCGAAGCTACAATTCGGAATATGAGAGAAATTTTAGAGCACCTGCGCGGAAAAAAAAGAGGCTCTTCAATTTTACTCTTTGAAGCGAGTTCTTACTTCAGAAATTGGATGCGTCCGGCATTGACGGCCTTGTCCCAAATTTCAGACGCTCCTATCTGATGTGTCCCCAGAGCGGCAACTGAGATGACCGCTGCTATCATCACGCCAACTTGTAACGCGTCCGTCCAAACCACCGCTCGAATACCGCCCTAATAAAACATCATGAAACCAGAGTGATACAGAACGAAGCATTTCATTTTAAGAGGGGGAAAAAAAAAAACTCGAATCAGCACGATTTCATTTGAATTTCATCGCAAAATTCTGCTAATCTGCCAATCTAGACGGTGCTTGGCTTGGATCAGGATTCTGCTTGAAAGGCAAATACGAATCGTTAACAATAAAACAATCGCACATTTATGAATCGCACGATTACGCAATAATTTTCCGATAGAAAAATGTATTTCTCTCGCAGCGGCATCATTTCCAGAGGCGAAATGTTTTTCGAGCGCTCACAATTAGACAACAATCCGTACGGTCGCGCGTGCGCACACGACGCATAATAAACAAATTTGTAAAGAGCCACTCAACCACGATAACTTCTCATTAATACGAAATCCAACAAATTGCTCGGATAATTACAGGCGCGCGATCCCGCGATTAATCACTTCAGCGCCGGCTTTGTGATCCGCTGCTATGATAACAACCGCTCGACGTTCTCCGCGCCATTGTTTCCTCGCGCCATTGTCAGGCTTTCAGTTTCCGTCCATAAACATTTCCAGTACTAAGGCTCTCGCATGAGATTCTTCGTGGCATTGTCCACTGAAAATTGTTTCCTACGGCAGAACCGTGTCCGAGGAACTCCAGCTATCCCGCGGGAATTCGGCGAACGAGCCTCCCCCGCAAAATTAGCTTAGCTTCGTCCCGTCGCGCCACTACCGTTTTCATCGCACCCCGCACAGCTGTATCAACGTTCAAGTGCGAGACATCTTTCATATGTCCTTTACTTTTCAACGGTCAGTTGTTGAGAGAACGGGAGAATTAACATGTCGAGGCGTGAGGCGTCGAATTTCAGTGAAAAAAAAACATAACGCAACGTGGACAATTTTTTCGCAACTTACCAGAACGGTGTAGAAAACGCATACGAAGCACACAATGGCCCCAATCAAGTGTATATCGATACCGCTCACTGCAATCGCACATAAAAACTTGAATGAAAATAAGTTAACATCTCAATGCGAGTAATGTGGCTATAAAATACCTTGATTTAACGCTAACGCCGGAACGTAGATCACGATCGATTGAAACAGAACCTGAAAGCAGTGTTAGTTATGCAACTCTTCAAAACAATCGTGAATTATTCTAAAGCGAATATCCATGCCGATCGCGCCAAGACGCCAACTTACCACGTCGAAGACAAAAATCGAAGAGATGAGAATCCGCACGCTTCGGCTGAATCGGATCTCCAAGTACTGAAACGAGGCGTTTGCTTAATATTTATTTATAATAAAATGCGCGCGTCTAATGAGTGATCTTTGAGACGCACCTCGTAAACGGAATCAAGCTGCAGAGTAGTGAAGACAGGGAGATACACGGTGACGACCACGATACCGGCGAATAAAGTCGAGATGATCGTGATCCAATATTGCGTGCCAAAGTTGTAAATCTCTGCCGGGGTACCCAAGATCGTCACGCCTGATATGAAGCTACAGTTACGATCGGAATTGATTAAATATTCTGCATGACTAATCAATCAAGCCCGAATCGAATGATAAGCTATGTTAATTATAACATAAGTCAATAATTAACATTTACAAAGCGAGCAAAAAGTATGCTTCAATATACGCATGTTCAGCCTATTAACGCAAACACTCAAAAAAATATTTCGCTGATGTAGTTAGATTTCTAGATATCGCAACAAGAATGTATCGCTATTTTTCGTATCTGTGAAAACATTGTTTGTCACATATAGAATTTATAGCAGTAATGTTCTAGCAATAGCTTTTGAAAAATTTAGGTACCATTGCTAAATGTTATTCATTGCATGATCTAACACGTGATTGATCTTATATAGATAGGCGCTTTAAAGAAACTTTCTTTTTAAAGTTCACAAACAATACAGATATATATTCTGTTTCTGTCATCTAAACTGATTAAGTAATTACATATGCAATATCACAACAGTTGCTAATCATTTATCTGTTTTAGTTAATTTTTTACACCTAGAAAATTTTAGCTATTATTGCAAGATCATTTTTTTGAGTGAACCTACGCAAACGCGTCGTGTTTTGATTTACAAATAATTTTGACATGTTATCGATGCTGTATTTGGGGATTAATTCGAAAATTTCACTTTAATAAATTTCGAATTTATTTCCCAATTTTCAAAGTCGATACATTTCAGTTTTCGAAAACCCGAATATTCTATTATCGGAATGACATCTGAAATTTAATCGATTCGTGCAAAGGTGAAACAGTTTCTTTAACATCAGAATCTGCGGGTGATAAAAAATTTCTTAACAGTTACTGCAATAGTTCCCACCTTTCCAGCATTCGCTAATTTTTAATTTTTTATCCTCGTTTTTCGGAGCGCTTTGAATCTTGCACTTTTTCATTCATTCCCCATTTTCTCTCTTTTCTTTTCTCCTTTAATAGTCTTAAGTTCTCCCAAAGTGGTGGACCAAGCTCACCTGGCAACGAGCGACGCGGACACGGGAAAGAGTCCTAAGCTTCTTCCTCCGAGCAGGTAGTCCTGTGTGGTAGACTTTTGCGCTCTTCTGAAGTGCCATAAGCCGGCTGCGGCAGACACGAGGAGCATAAGTGCAAACACCAGCCAATCGATCCAATGAAAGTATCCTCTTTCCGATACAGTCACCATCTTCACTGAAATCAAACAGCTAAATCTATAATTTCCAATGCATTCAAAATAGTGAATTCCTTTTTCTTAAGCTTCTTCAAACCGCGATCTCGTTATAAATACAAGTCCGTTATACGCCTTTGTGGCATATCATGTACAATTTATCATACACGAACACGTGTTCCGATATTTTATTTTCTTCTTTAACAAACAAGAAATTATTTCGATATCTTAATTTCTCGTATAAATTGAACAACATTAATCGAATACTATAAATAGTGTTGTTAATTTTGTTCGCAGAAACTTATCTCCGTGTGCGAGCTGCAATCTAATTACTAATCTTTACAAACGTCAATTGTCACATTATTCAATGATAAATACACAATCGGCAGTGTGTATGAAATTCAATCACAACTGCCTTATTGGCCCTGACAAGAAAGGTCCTCGCTTGATCGATGGCACAAAGAATTAACCTATCGGCATAAAAAAACTTTATTTCTAGCCGGTGATTTCTTTTTTTGATCAGCATCCAATCGTGCATCGAGACACATGTATCGAGTAACACAAAGTCGAAGCTGATATTTTTGCGCTCAATAAGAACCATTGATTGGCACGTCGCCAGGAATATTTCGTCCAGTTTTTATTAGCTTGTATCACATTATGTTATTCAGGTTAGCATCCTCGCTGTCCATCTAACAATGGCACAGTAATTAAATGTTACGCGGTAATAAATATTTAACAAGGATTTATAAGTCGCTCGCGTCATTGCGGCAGCATCAATTGATCGCGAAGAATGTCGGATACCGCGTTGTTAAGGTCCGCGCAGTCGTTAGCGTTTCCCTATTACGAGCCACTGATCTATGACTTCTTCGCATGTGCTAGCAATTTGGTCTCGTTAACGCGGAATGACAATCGTGGCGTGTATTTCGTTATATAGCTCACAATGCCACCGCCATTTCTGAAATCTCATGCTCGCGTTTCACGCTAATAAGGCTGTGAGAAGTACGATTAAACAGAGATTACTAATCAATGGGGGATAAAAATCTAATCAACGGAGGGCACCTTTAGCTAAGAAGACTTTATTTAGGAATATGAAGATATATATTGCATTATTGTGCATTGTTTCTTATTATTGCTATATTTTATTACATTTTTTTTTAAATTTTATCACACTTTTCAATAATCGTGAAATTGTTATAACAGGAAATATTTATTGACTATATTAGCAAGGAGAAAGTCAGGCGGACAGAAATGCTGTTTCCGCGAACTCAACACATAGGTCTGGGTTCAAAGTTCTGTTATTTTCCGATCAATCGTTAGGGTCAATTGCCGAGTCGTGAGCGTAAACGAACACAAACAAGCGAAAAGTAGTCGGTTGGTAATCGCGAAATCACATCAGTTCTCGTTATCGAAACGCTTCGCGGAATTTATATGAAATCGCTAATTAATATTCGGAAATCGATAAGCGATTCAATATTGAGAATTTTGAGGATCGTTGAGATTTTTTTCAAACTGTGTTTGTGTGTTCTATCGTAAACTTTTCAAATTCCGAGATGTGATTGTAATATTTGGTGAGTCATTCCAATTATAAATCTTGACAAAGAGAATTAGCGGCTTATGTAAACAACTGTTTCATGCATTATCAAATATAGATACAAAATATACGTTGTATTAAAGTCGAGATAAGGAAAATTGCTCAATAATAATGCATAATGATTCAATAGACAAGGTGACCGTTGCCTATTGAAATTATATAACCATAACACCAAGTCTAATATTTCCAATTTTGTTTCGCCGAACGAGTATTTCTTATCCAATTCCTTTTACAATTTCTAATATATATGCATTTGTATTATGACTAATTAGATCAGCAGTGGATAATTGGCGTTTACCGACCGTCGCGACCATGCACGAAACAGTCGACGGACGATACGTGTGCCTGTCTTTCGTTATAAATAGTACTGTATATTTAGCGCGTTTTTGGTCATGTGATTTGCATGTGAGGTTTGCGAAGATGCGACTCTGCCGCAATAAAATTACAAGGAATGTTAGGAATACAGCGAACAATCTTAATCAGCGAATGGTAAGAAGCCATTAAAACGTCTCCCAATTCTATTTTCATCAGACCTTTGGAATTCTCTACGATAACAAATCTTTTCACATAATTTAAATAAATTTTTGGATAAAGTCATAAAAATTCTTTTCGATTTAGTAAATCAAGATTAGTTTTACAGCTACCTGTCTCAAACATTTACACCCTTCTTATGAGTTTAAATATTTTGTATTTTTTTAGTTTTGCTAAAAATTTGTAGAGTATAAATTACAAAAGAATGTGTCATTATTATTATTATTATTATTATTATTATTATTATTATCTGAACATTATTATTATTATCTTTAATCAACCATGCGTGGATACAAGACTGACTAACAGAAATATTATACCCAACCGGTTTGGAAGGAAAAAAATTCTTATATGCTCCATTCTAAATGTCACACAATCCTTTATTAAGAAAAAAGATCTTAAATGTCTTTTTTTTTCCTTTATGTGTCTCGGCTTTGATTTTTCCTCCATTCGATTTTTCAGAAAAATAAATCTTTGACTTTGTCAAAATGTATTCGTAAAACTGAGTTTTTTTTCCTTAACAAATACTTGTCGTTTCACGATACTAACCTTAAAATGAGACCAGTCCAAAATTATTTCATTCCAAATTAACGCTGTATTCTATTACTGTCAGGTGACCGCGTGTACTACAGCCGGCTGCGTGTTCAAATGCAATGACAGCTTCTTTCCAAACGGCGAACGATAACCGATTGTCTAACAACTTCGACACACTTTCTATTCTTCTTTCCTTCTATTGTTTCACCCGAGTTTAAAACTGTATTCGTCAGAGCATGATTCAGTGTTTCAGAATTTTAATTCCGTCAATCGTTTAACCAATCGATTTATTGAATTCAAACAAAAGTAATAAATCGCAGAAGTAAAATGAAGAGAAAAATATTTTAATTATTCTCTGACTGAAAAATTGGATTATTTAACTCGAGCGAGACAAGTCACACACTGCAAAAGTTAACACGCTACAATGATGACGAGTGAAAAAAATTTTTGGTATTTTTTTCCCAATATTGCTAACGTACGCTCTCGCCTTTCGAGCGACACACGTGTTGCGAATACACGACGCGATCGGTTGTTACGCGCAAACGGAAAGAGATACGTCCGTAAGCGACGACCACGATCGACTGAGCGCAATTGGACGGCGTAGCGACGATTACATCGTGAAGCAAATCATATGTACTTTCGTTAGGAAACACGATATTGACAGTGACATAGTCAATACAGTTACGTTGGTGCGCAGCAATTTAAATATTGGCAAGCAAAAAATTCACGAAGCTTCGTAATTATGAGTTCTCTTTTGACAGCCGTCTATTAACGCAAGTAAATCTACTGACTTTGCATACAAAAACGACAATCTCAAATATAATCTGAAATATAATTTTCCTTATGATAATATTTTCCTGCTTTTTTTTTTCAATGTGACATTTATTAAAAGTGCACGTTAAATTGAGCTGTGTTATTCAGATTGATCCTTTTCGTGTTAACTTAGAAATTTTAATTAATGCCTGTTATATACAAAAACTCGAAAGTTCTAGCTGTTATTCTTTTATTCATTATTATAAATGTGTACAATAATATACAACTATCCTTAAAAATTCACGACTTATAATACGAATAAACAAATGTCTTTTACAACTACAGATCTAATTATGTGACAGGAAACAATCAAAATTAATTGCTGATCACACTCATAACAAAAATCGGGAAACAAAAGAGATATATGCCGCGAAAATATCGATAACACTTGATCGATGTGGAATGCACTTATAGATATATAAACACACAGAGATTAAGTAGATAATTAAAAAATTATCTGCGCAATTGAGAGTGCTGTATTGTATATTAAAAAAAAATAGAATTGAACGATTTCAATGCACGGCTCTCCTGATACGAAATCAATCACATTAAGGAAAGTTAAAAATTCTTAACTTAAAGAAAACTGAGAGGACAAAGAATCAGAAATAAAAGTAAGATAAGTGACTTTTCGACTTATCATTCACCGTTCTAACATTTGTCTCGCTTATCTTTGCTCTATATACACGCGCGTCTTTTCTTGAGCATACCCTGATCTATGTTCGTTGTTAAAATTGATAAATATATTAAACGAAAAAATAGAAAAAAATGAAAAATTATCAATAATTTTGATGATAAAATGGTGTGATGCGATCAAAATATTTTTCCTATTGTCAATAAAGATACATTTTGTAAAGACAATACTGACTTGACAAGAATTGTCGAATATTATTCAACCTTCATCGACAATGAATAATGATCGCACGAGCCCTGCTTCTTGTTCCACAGGAAAGAAGTTGACATCAAAATGTATACAAACAATCAAGCGAATAAGGACTGAATGAGAGATGTACATGTTTATATTTTCACATTATATTTACATATACAACAAATGAGTAGAGACAAAAATATGTCAACATAAAATGCAAAATATTGTTGCATAATGATTCGCAATGTGTATCTGGGGAGGTACATCATCGATTCTTAACTATAAAAGTCGTCAACTCTTAACTTGGAACAAGACCAGTAACAAAAGTTACATACAAAAATCTTTGATACAGTCTGTAATTGATAAAAGGTAGTTTCATCACAGCTTATGTTGTTTTCCTTCGCCAAAGAGCCATAGACAAGCTCTGTCAGCTACATAGACGAGGATGAAATTCGCGATTAATACTTGAACCAGTACTGCACGGAACTGTAATATACGATTGAAATATTAGTAGCTGAAAAAGTAGTAAAATATCATGGACCAAAGAATTTCATAAATTATATCTCGATAAATTAGAAGCTTAATTATTTGTTACACAACACCGCGCTTTGTGCAAAAAACTCACTTGGCTTGGAAAATCCACAATTTCGAATTGTGCCGCTACATCTGGCAGAAATCCACAAGCCAGTAGTAGAATAACGACAGAATTGCCTATAAGACTGAACAAAAGAGCTTTATTTTGCATCAAACTCTCCATGTATGGCTGACCCTGTTGCAACGTAACATAAATTAGTTATTAACAATATATCGGAAAATACATAATTATTGATAAAGCACGGCGTAAACGCAAACAACTTACTCGATAATTTATAGCAAAAGTAGAAACCTGAAGGGTCATCGAGATTATATACACAGTGCTATTAATTATATTTGCCTCGAAGGGTTCTTCCTCGCTGCTGTCATCCCTGGCCAATGAATTAACTTCACTGGAATTATTCAAAATAGCTGCCAACTTATTATCCCTGAAAAACGAGTAATATGAAAGATACGATCGACGCGGGTTAATTTGCACAACTTACTTCGGAGATAAAAGAGTGGCTTCTTTCACCAAGAACACCAGACAGAAGAAGTGTACGGAAAACTGCAGTAATACAGTTGCAATGGTGTATAGATTGAAAATATTCGGCAATGGTCGCTGCTGTGACAACGTTTTCAGAGGTTTGGATCGAGAGATGAAGAGAAAACAGGCCGCTAGAAGGATGCCTTGCAAGGTCGCTTGTGCATCGCTGAACTTGATTCCATCCAAATACAGCACTGACTGGCTGTAAGCGAGTATGAGATGCATTTAGCGCCAGTATTTTGAACATCTGCAAAGTGGTGACCAGAGTACAGCGTCCCTGCTTGATCACGTGGCATACTGGAAATAAAGAAACACTTGTGTTTCACAATAACACATCAATTTGACAGTATCCCGTGTAACTTACTGCACTGGATGGACGACATTTTGCTGGTAAAAGGGGCCGCGATAGAAGCATCGCCGAGTTTCACAATCACGGATTGTTCCTGCACCTCGTTATCGATTTCCTTCAGCATCTTCTGCAGCTTCGCGCGATTGCTCGTCGGTGCGGCTCTCTGATTGCTCCTCGGTCCGTTGACTATGGGGGAGGTATCGTTTCTCGTATCTTCCCGCTTGTCGGAAGATGGTCTTTCGGGAGGACTAGAGAGAATTGCGACGCCTGTCGAAGAAAAAAAAAAAAAAAAAAAGAACAAACGTGTGCTTATATCTAATTTTTACCGCACCCATTTCTTCAACTTACCCACTTGAGCATGTTTTAAAGCGCCGACATCGTTCGTGCCGTCGCCGCACATCAACGTCGTATAGCCGAGAGCTTGCAGCGATACGATGATGAATTCCTTCTGTTTCGGTGCGCATCGCGCAAAAATCACGACGTGCGGCAGCAACTTGCGAAGAAGCTCTCGTTGTTTTTCCCTCAGATACGACAAACCCTACAAAAAGATCGCTATGTAGCAGCGACTGCGATTCATAAAGTTCTTTATGCATATTTCTTTACACACTTCTCCCGTTATGCAGAGCGCATAATCCTTCCAGATTTGCTTGCGTGATTCGATATTCTTTACATTTAGAGGAAATTGTATCGTCTTGTCTATGCTCTCCCACAACCATTCCTTAGCATCTTCAGTTAATATGAGTGTATGCGGTTTCTTCGTGAAGTGCAATTCGCGACTCACGTGACAAGCCGTCAACGGATTGTCACCAGTTATCATTACGACCTAAGAAACAATCGCACGTTTATTTGTTGCCTAGCAATATTAAGATTTTCTTTCGAAGAGTTTTAAATTGCAGTACAATCGGGACATTTTAAAAATAGCATTTATTACCAGATACGTACCGAGTGTGAAGAACTGACAATCTCTTTAATTACGGCTTTCGAGTCGGGCTTGAGGGGACAGCTAATTATGACAAATCCCGCGAATGTGAGATCGCACTCAAGTTTTTCCCGACTTAATTCTCGTATGTCTTGAGAAGATGAGATACCGCTAAGTTTACGATATCCCAAAGCAAGCACTCTTGCGCCGCGCCGCGAAAGAGATAAGTAAATTGAGTCGTAATTTTCCGGTACAGAAGATAACTGAAATAATAAAAAATTATGTGGCTGATATCATGTCGTGAATATCGACAATTAGAATTGCAAACAAGTGTTACTTCGCTCACCATAGTTTTTAGAGTTTCTGGCGCGCCCTTCACCGCCACCATATAATGCATTTCTGAACCGGGAAGATCATACGCGACCACAACGCACATTCTCTTTAAAGCCGATGAGAAATGATGTCTCTGTAAAATCTTCATCACCGTACTCTTGCCTCGTTTAACGGGAATTATTGAATCGTCTGCACAAAGCAATAGCACAAATGCAATGCGTCAATATTTCAAACATATCGTGCTATCGACGAATCTATACTCACATCTTGTGAGAATCCAGCCGACAGCTTTGAGGGTTGCCTTTTCCAGAGGGTCCCCAACGATACCGTCGTCTAATTGAACAAGGGAATGACACGTAGCGAGCACCTGAATACTCTCATAAGGTGCATTCGACAGTGCAATCACGTCCGGTTTGCCACTTAAAAAAAATTACATTTCACAATAACACGAAGGAACGTCGTGAGAATGATAAAGCGTAGTTTCTTACTCGACACCCGCGATACCCTCGACAACTAGATTATCGCTGGTGAGTGTACCAGTCTTGTCAAAACAACAAATATCGACTTTGCCGGCGAAAGGAATTCTGAACGGTTCCGTACAAAATACACCTGCGAAAAGACATAATACAATGACTTTGGTGCACAGATGATATTGCAAAATTAAGTTTTGGCACTACAACTTTGTTTCAAGTACCTAATTTAGATAGAGCTAGCAAAGACGTATTTACAGCTAGCGACAATTCTATAGGCAATTCTGGTGGCACAACAGAGGTCAAAATTAACGTGCATTCCAAAAATAGTTTGTATTTGTTCCTCGTAGGATCTTCGCTGCCTGAAATGCAAATTTGTAATTTCTATTTTAATTTTATGTCCCCATTTCTCGTATTTATTTATATTAATGTAGAATCGAATTACCTTTGATCCACACATACGCGGCAGCGGCGATTGCGAAAATAAGCAGAAATAGAATGAAACCAAAAGTCTCCAAGTTGTTGGCGGTAACGCGTTTAACGCCGAACAATATCGTTCTCAAAAGTTTGCCTTGCGACGTGGAAAAGCCGGTACGTAGCACGTACGCAACGCATCCATGATCGCTCGCTGCAATATTACACGTTCAAATCATTAAACAAACGTGAGAATGAATTTTTAAACATATAGACAACGAAATTTACTAGTAATACCTCGTATGCCGGGTGTATTTTTACTAGGTGGCGTGTGCTGCACAACTTTTGTACCGCCAAAAAGCATGTGAAGCTTATCAGCTTCGATATCTATAATTCTATCTTTATCAATATCTTCCACAGGCTCTTTCATTTGAGGAACAGATTCACCTATTTTCAAATATTACAGTCGTAAAAATTTATTAAATGTATTAATATCAAAATTTTGAAAATGCTAGCTCATTTAAAATACCTGTTAACATGCTCTCATCGACCACGCATGGTCCTCGCAAAAGCAACATATCACATGGCACTAAACTATCGTGTTGAGACCTTGTAATAGAAACGATATCACCAGGAACTAGTTGATCCGTAAATAATAAGCGCCATCGTCTATTTCTGTATACCTAAAAAAAGTATATAAAATTCTTAGAAATATTTGCAAGCACACATTTGCAGTATAAAAGAGTATTTGCATACTAATACATATATACACGTACCATTATCATATATGGTTTATTGCCCATTTTACGAATCTCTGCCATATTTCTTAATTGCTGTTGTACCAGTGTACATTCAAACATGATAAGCATAATTAGTGTGAAGATACTGTAATACCAATACTTATCTAAACACCAGAGTGCCACACAGAATACTTGAAAGACAAAAAACGGAGCGATAGCACGCTCTTTAAAAAGTTCCCAGAATTCTGGCACAACCATATCCAACCTGGAGTGAAAACGATATTTTCAATAATATTTATTATCATAAGTTATTTTCAATAATATACAACATGTCTTGCAAAGACCAAGATGGTAAGATTTTTCTATAACATACTTATTTTTCCCATATTTCTCTTCTGCCGCTTCGACCTCATCTTGATCGAGGTACCCTTTCCATCCACAATAATATTTTACGGAATGATTGATTGGGAACTGCAACCCTCTAAAAGACTTTATCTCCGGATCCCAATAGTATTTTGTTTTTTGGAAAATAAACCAATTCTGCTGTTCTGTGTGATGTAGTGCAACCAATTCTGAGCTTCCATTATTTGGAGTAGGTACTACTTTGACTATTTTGGCTTTGTACGGATCTTTCTCCTGTAATTTTATTTAAAATTGAGATCGAAAAAATATTGCAAAATACACTTGAGTTGGAATATTTTAAAAATAAGCGCAATAATTGCGTGACACTGACATAATTCTACATGATTTTCTTCGTGGTTCAAATATACCCGCCGTGATATCACGTGATCGTGCTAGCAGAAGACCGGTTGCCACGTTATGAGACATATTGGGGCCACGAAAAGCCACGTGCCCATTGTTTAAACAAATTGAACATCAATCGTTCACTTACCGAGCTGCAATTTAAGAACGTGTGAATGTGCACGGACCATTGGCAGCACAGACAGAGAAAAATCTGCAGCATTCCGATCGCTGCGATGCCTACGAGACCCGCGTCATAATATTCGTCAATGCCGTAAATGAAGATCCAACAATAAATCCACAGAGACTGCAGCATCATGAAGGGTAGGATGTAGCCGTTGAATATCCATTTGCGTGGATTGTGCAAGCTGACGGATTGCACGAGTTCGTCTATCCGTGACGAGGTCGCCGCCATGATTACGCTAACAACAGTTAAATCGTCACAACCAGCGAGAAACGTTTCGATGTCCGACGTATTTTAAGCACCATTCACATCCGGACTTTATTTAAACATGTTATTGAACGGCTTTAAGCGGTACGATCAGGATAATCATATTTGCAACTGTGGGGAAATTGAGAAAATTAAAGAATTGCTCGAATGACAGGGTTATGTTGCAGCTTGCCAACAATATTATCGCGTTTACTATAGTATCAGTAGATAAACTAGTCCCTCACATGTCTTCACTGAATGTCTACAACTACTCCAAGCGCCATCGTCAGTAGCAGAGGTGCAACACCAGCTTAAGCGTGACAATGGCAGGAAAACCGCCGCATTTGAACGCATTTTATTTTTTCGAACTAAACTAGATGTTGAAAAATACACAGTATGTAGATATTTTAATTTTGAATTATGAAATTTTCTCTTCTCTATTTTACGGATCGCTATTTAACTGCGAAATGTATAAATCAATTAATCTTTCGTATTTTAAGAATATAAGAAATGTTTTTGATGTTTAATATAAGTCAAAATTATGACAATTAAAAATATTAGTAAGATGCATTTAATAACTCACTCTAAATAGAATTATAACTTTCAAAAATGTTAATAAAGTTTGTGATTACATATAATTTGTTTTGTATTTCACGTATTAATGCTAATAATAAGAGTTTAAAATTTCTTTCTCAGTCACAATTTATTTCAATATAACTTTATTAGCTTACCAACTATTTTGAAAGAGTTCAAAGTTTTCTAAATATTTTACATTATAATATTACGATGAATAATGATCTTTTACCGTTTCTAATTTTTGCTCCAATAAAAAAAAAGTTTTTATCTTTGCCTTACTAAACTTTTATGAGTTTGCATTTCAAAAATAATTTAATCACAATAAACCAGTAATTGAAACAATAATAAAAAAGGGTATTATAGCTTTATCGCTTGATTGCGAATCACATAAAAACATGCATAACAGGTATTATGTACATAAACTATAAACATCGGAAACAAAAATATTAGTAATCAGAATTGACACATAATTGCAAGAACAATACTTTTATTCGTGAGACAGATAATTGTAAAACAATGCCGTTATTCGCAAATATTGCAAACTATATTTAAAAGCATGAATTTAGTTTCTATAATTCTTAGAAATATGAAACAATTATAAACAATAGATGGAACGAATAATAATATTAAATTTTTGTCAATAAAAATAACTAGTCGCAGAGCGACTTTTTTATCACTCGAAATATTTTTGAAAAGTATTTTCACATTGTGTCACACAACTTCCTCGATGTGTACTTTACTTTATAACGCGATAAAAAACCAACAATTTTATCGCTCTATTCTATGCTTTAATATGCGAAGAGATAGCATTTCTCTTTTTTTTTCCCCCGACTACTAGTAGAGTGTCGCGTAATCAAGATGTATCTGTGTCATCCGGAGAAAAACTCGACTCACGCTGTCATAAGGTCGATGAATCTCTCGCGCATATATCCCAGTGAAAGTATGTGTCCGTCTACCCCTTCCTGAGCTCCGTGGAACTCGTGCACGCCGTCCCGAGGAAGGGATTAACGCAAGTATATCCACGTATCCCACGTTGCCAGGTAGACTTACGGCGTGTAGAGCCGAATCGCGCCAGTGTCTGGACCCAGCGTGGACACTTTCGAATCACGCTGGCTAAAAGTGGAGACGTTCGTTTATGGTTGATCATAGTCTGTCATAATCGGTGTGATAGAACCTCGGACGTCGCTGTAACTTAGCGGTTAAAAGAGACAGGAGATTCCGAATTGGATCAAGTTCTAGGTTTTTTTTTTTTTTTTTTTTTTTAATTAATATTCACCGTTGATGCGGATCGACATTCGAGAGTATCGAGCTGTCGTTCATTTGAAAATTCGAAGGGGAGCACGATTTTTTCATCCATCGTCAACGACACTTTATACCTTGCGGTCGTCTCAGCCGATCTCGTATCGGATCGCACTATCGTTTTATCAGCGGTGACATCGCATTGATCAGCACGCGATGCCAATTAAGTGACTTTGCGATCTCCTTCCTGCCGAGACACCTGCCGTGCTCAACACAGGAGTGAAGGTTTCTGTCACGCAGGGGTGAATCATAACGATAAATCGAAATGGCGTTCGCGTGGCACCTAATATCAATCGTAAGTGGCCGATTTAATGTTAGGAGTAACAGTCGCACCGTAGATCACTGAATACGAGGGAAGCTGTATTTAGATCTGATGCTACGTTCTTCGTATCAATCGCACACACGTAACGCACATCTCTCTAATCGATTTTATATATTGACTCATCTGTTGATTCACAACTAACACTTCTTATCCGGCGATCGAATTACGTATAGGTTGAATCGGAGCCGATTAATGGGCGCGAGCGCGCTTGTATCATACAGGAAATACGATCAGCAATCAGTTACACAGATTTCATAATAACTTGCTCCACGTTGTACAAGACTTGGCCGGCTGAGTGAGTTGAACAAGTTTTATCGTTCGTTTGACCGATAAATGTAAAATGCGCGCGGAGACCATACTTTCACGCGCGCCATACGAAGGGAGCGAATTCGGATTTAATGTTCGGAGCTAACAGTCGATAAGAGAATTGTAATTTTTTTTGTTTTTTATTTTCATCGGTATTGTCATTTGTGCGTTCACAGTTTTTCCTGATTGTCAGCCGAGGCGAGCCCTGCACGGAGTACGGATGTCCCGGACGGCCGCAGTACGAGCCCTTCGTGCCCGCGCCCCCAGGACACACCCCCCGCTGCGCGTCACCGGGGCAGACTTTCTGCGAGAGCCTGGATCATTATCCCCGGTGAGTGGACTTCCCTCCTGAATTATTCGCTGTCGAGTTCGCCGACGAGATAACGCAACAAGTGGAAATCCGCGGCCGGTCGACCCATTTCCAATTGTTGATATTCCTTTCGCCGTCCGCCGTGTCCACCTTCCGCCTTCGTCTATGCATACGAATGACGCCGACACGCGTGTCGAGAAAAACTTCTGGAGGGGAAAGTGCGCTAAACTCTCTTTCTCAGAGTGAGAATTCGTTTCTCGAAAGCACAGGTCTACCTTGGCGGGCTTACACAATAAATTATGCGGGGGACTCTCTCGCTCGTGAAAGAAAAAAAAATTCTTTTCTCGCTTTGCTCGCAGGTTTCTAGCTCGCGGAACAATGTCGCGGTTAAACAGGAGAATAGGACGGTTAGGCTCGTTAGATGCTCTTTCTTCCATTTTCACACGAATGATGCATCGATTTCCCAAATTTCCTGCGCACTTTCACGCTATCGGCGTTATCTCGGAGAAGTTAAGAGTTACGTAAAGTGAGCGGTCACTATGTAATGTAAGAACGTCCGTGAGATCGTTGTTCAGCGTACCGTGACCGTGGCCTTGGCGCGGTCATACGCGTTGGATAATTATCGGGCCCGTTACAATGCAAATCGCCGAATATCGTTACTTCCTCACACATTTCCACCTCACTGAGCAAACCACTTCTTTCGCACTTACGCCGAATATATGCGTGAATGATATTCGCGCACATTCGTCGAACATTGATGAGTCGCGCACGTTGTTTGAACGTGCGCTTGCGGAAGCGGACGGGCAAATGACGAAACGAACGTATCGCACGGTTTTCTTGAAATAAATCAGCAATGTTCAGCGCAAAACAAACCTCCGATGGAGCGTGTAAAATGGATATTTGTCGGAGGAATATTTATACACCTCTTATGTAGATATTTAGAACTTTCTAGCGTTGTACTCTGTTGAATATGATAAAGCAACGAGGCTGCGATAAGGTCGCAGGTCGCTTTAACAGGTTTGAATAATTCTAGTAACTGGAGAAACTTGTGGCTGTGACAGCTGCCACATCTGATAATTATGTGCGTGCAAACGACCCGATCTGTCAATTAGAGTGTCAGAGATGTCAAATCGCTAACTTGACTTGAATCGGCCTAGCGTTCACTACGCGCCACGTATTATTTTGTCGCAAACAAACGTATACGCATCTCACCTCGCCGATGCTTACATAGGTCTAACATCGTTACGCAACGTACCCAATTGAGAACGCACCTGCGTAAATAAGTTTTTGTCAACATTTGTGAAGACAAATCTCGGTCGTCCGGCGGACACAATAGTCAGACCTCGATTACGCGTTGCTGCAAGACTCGCCGGTCAAAGGTTGCATTTAACATTTGCATAAAAAGAACGCATCGCACCTTTTTTCATCCGACACATTGTATTCCGTTCTCGGGAGACGTAACAATTTTTGTTTTTGTTTCTTCTTAGACAACTCATCAAGTTTCTCGTCGACAAATGCAGCTTTGACTTTAGCACCGCGCTGCGAGACGAATCTCGACACAGCTTCAACTCTTATAGGTATATTATTTTATATGTTTGAAATATATCTACAATATATTTGAAACATCGTGAAATACGCATGTAATTGATAAGGAAAAAATTAATGCAAGATTACCATCAGATAAGTATAAGAAACTTTAGTTAATTTCGTGGCATTTCTCTCGGAACTCATTGACGCGTAATCGACCGTCAATTCGATTGTTAACGGTATGCTGTACACCTCTCATTAACATTTGCAAGTTCTCCTCCGGATTACAATCAAGGCTATGACTATCCACGACAAGACGATAGTCAATTATATGCGCAGCTTCCTTTGAGAGAACAGCCGGCCTCGGTATACGGACCTCCGTCCAATAGCAGCCGCTACCACAGGTAAGATATGTACGTCGCATCAGTGTCAAATTATTTATTCATTATTCATACAAAGTCGAGTATGCTTAAATGATGGCACAAGCGAAATAAAATGATATTAGCGCCCATGTTCAGATTTTTAATTAAATTGCAGCTATAAATACTCTGCACCGTCGCAGCCGCAGAGAAATCCTTTTCTCCCGGACGTAACGCTCAAGTATCAACAGAATATCCAGCGACAAACCGATCCCGCTTATTCGCAGGATCCCGCGAGCGTATTTGGGCCGAATCAATCATGGCTGACGAATAGGTAGTACATAATTTACGAAGGTGTTTCAGAGTAATAATTTATGCTTGACATATTTATAGAATTTTATATCAAACAACAGATATTTGAGAAATGACAAAATAGCGCCGCGAACTTATCACGTGAATCCTCTGTTGGGATACGGGAAACTGAAGGGCGATCGTGTGAAGAGGCAGTCGAATACGGACGCCATCACCATATGCCCCACGCAAGAGCAATATATCGCTCCGAGAGCCGCTTTAAACAATCAGGGCAACTGGATGTATGTTGTTAATCTTCCGGGACAGGAGAGATACACGCAGCTCGTCAAAAGCGAGAAATGCTTGTAAGTAGACAAATTGTTGGTCCAAATTGTTGGATAAATTTCTTGTCAAACTTGATCAATGTTGCTGATAAATTTCATCGTTCGACTATTAACAATTTTGATCAATTTTTGCTGTCAATTTGCCAACATTGCTGACATTTTGCTTACTGGATTTGTAATAATAAAAATTCGAATATGAACTGCCTGTGAGAGTATCTTGGAGATATCCTGCAAATTTGCGATTATTCCAACTTTCAAGTCAAGAGTTTCAAATGGTCCCTGATTAATTTTTGAGATTGCTGATATATTCGGATAACGTTTTTTTTTATAAAACCGAAGAGCAGGAAGGAAAAGAAAGAGAAAAAAGATGAAAAACACTCCACTGTTTTTAGGAATGACGAATGCAACGGTATATGCTCCATACCGGAGGGATACAGGAGCAGGTGTCAACAGCAATTCGTGCAAAAGAGATTAGTCGCTCTCGAGGGAAGCGGGAATCGACTTTATACGGACGTGTTCTGGTTTCCACACGGCTGCATGTGCCAGATCATACCAAATTACTAAAAACGGCAAACGAGCTGTGTCGCATTAGTGAACGGTTTAATCACTAATTTATATATTATGCGACTTATTCTGTTAAGGATAAACTGCTGAATGTAATTACACGTAACCGTCGTCTTTTTTACGATCGTAATCCGGTATCGTAACGCAGCACGCCTCGCATCAGCGTTGAAAGCGAGCACCGGTAATACAGCGTTCTATGAACGATGCGTACCCGAGCAAGTTTCAACATTACCAGCGGCGTTAAAGTAGAGACGGATAAGCATTATCAATATGTAGTTTATTTTGTTGCATCTGTTAATTGCACATTAGCGAATTGCAAGCGGGCGCAAATCTATTCATAAAAATATTAATATTGTATTTGTTAGCGGTGAATAAGCAAAAAGGCTTTCAACGAGAAATATTCTATACTTACGTCTCGCATTTTTAGTTTTAAATATATTTTTTTTATATTATTGATTGGAGTGGAAATCATTGGATGCGTCTTTTTTTACTTTTTAAGCATCCTCGATTCTCCCAGAATTCTAAAATTACGAGAGAGACGGCATGCGTAGTATTAGATTAGTATGGATCTATCAGTTTTTATAATATAATTGTTGTTAATAAGCATTGCTTTTAGTTGAAGGAATAAATATTTGATTTAGGGATTAATCTCGATAAATAGTTAAAATGTTACGATTCAGTTTATTTGTGCAATAAGTACTTTTTTCCAGCGAGAACGAGGAGAGGAATCTTATATCATATAATGAAACTTAAAAGCAGATTTTTATGTATTATTTATATACAAATGAGTAATAAAGACAATATAACGAAAAATTGTTATTATTACCAGATAGCAGAATGTTAACAATGCTAGCAGATTGATAGCAAATTTAATCAAATTTGTTGTCAATTAGCCGATACCGATTATCATTTTACTTACTGGGATTTCAGTATTACGCAAAACCTGATTAAACAAAGAAATAAATTGTTTGATTGTGGAATAACTGTACCTTGTAAAATAATTTTGTAGAAAAATGTGGTATTTTTAATGAAAATATTTACAAGCTTTGAAAAATAACATATTTAAAGTTGCGTAAAATAGACAAGCATCAATTGCTACCACAGTTTATTTTGCTAAATGACTTATCGATTCCTTCGCTAGCAGAATGTTGCGTGGAGCGCAGTATTGTTCTATTTCTAATCGTAACATCTTATCAAGAAGGCGGATACACTAAATGTACGGGGAATACAAGGGATTCGAAAGGCATAAAATAAAAAATTTCGATTGGCTGGGAAAGAAGGGACGAATGAAAAGAGGGATGAAAACCGGGTGACGAGGAGAGGTATAACCAGGGGAGAACAACTAGAGGTCAAACACGCGCAGATTCCGCGAAAATATTGCGAAGCAACGCGACACTCTTTTCACGCCGCGTTCCGACGAATTACGTGAATCTGCAAACTAGTAACATCAATACGCAGTGTCTCACTCGTGATTTCCGCGCGCGATGACGATGTTTTTAACGAATAAATATTTAATGTCGAGTGCCGTTTCATCGGCAAGCGGATGGTTTCGAAATTTTTGCGTGTAACATTTTCACGGGACTGAAAAAAAAATCGCTGTAAAGCGCGTTTTCCAAGAGAGAAACATTTAGTGCGCCCCGGAGATTCGCACTCTCCCGCTATATAGATTCCTTTCCGCTCGGAGAAACGCGATCTCTCGCATACACCCACGGCTCATACCCGCTCGAGAGCCGCCCCGTATCCCCCTCGGCATCCCTTCGCGTCCAGCGGATAGAGGGGTGAATTCTAGGCGTATGTAAGTGCAACGCGGTGCACCTACAACGGTGCCTATACGCGTGCACTTGTACCTTACGCGTTTCCCTCCACTCGTGCGTGACAGAAGTGTCTGTACACACGAGGTGGATGGTAGGCTACTTGAAGGGTTTCCGTTTATATGCACGCGTGTAAGCGTGTGCGAGCTAGCGACGGACGAAGGGGCCTTCCGCTGAGAAGCGAGGTTGTCCTGCGATAACGTGCATATCATACGCGAAGCGGTGGATGGCGTATTGATTAAGATAATCCCTAATTGCAGGAAATTTTTCAAGTTGTTCAAAACAGAATTCTCATGAATTATATCGATTCAATTTTTCTATTCAATTCAATTCTGCTCCGCGGTTTAATCATATCTAGCGATAAAAGTAGGTGTTTTTTCGAAATTATAACAATATATTTGGCGTATATTTCGTGTGCGTGAACATACCGAGTGGCACCGCGATAATCCACCGCAGTTGTTGCAATTTGCTTCGCATCTGGGGTCTCCGCGAGATTAAATCGAGATTCCGAGTCGATTCACGGCATCCAGATGTCACGTTTCAGGAAGAGGAAGCCCACCTTTGATCCCTACCACTCGCAAGATGACGAGCGGAGCGCACGTACCGCGCCGAATAATTTATTTACAAAAATCTATCAAACACATACTTCGAGAAGCTGTGCCACATATATGTGCCATGTGTTAATTTAACGGGAGATTTCACATTAATTTTGATTCACGCGTCGCTTTGAAACTGCGCCTTGTTGAATTAAATCCCGTCTGACCCATTTCCGCTTTCACGCCATTCTAAGCGCACGCGGTCAGATAGGTCAAGTTTGTGACGCGATTTACACCGTAAAACCTTACAACAGTCGCGCCGCGTACTTTCATGAAACAGCTCGATTAATAGGCACCGTCGCGGTATCCATTCGACGAATTAATCGCCAGTGAAAATACACCAGAACGGAATCGAGTTTAATGCGTGTGAAAAATCTGCGTAAGGTCAGCGCTGACGGCATGACTTTACCTATGATATTTTTTTTCCAAGCAAACTTGCATAAAAAAGCGACCTTGATTACTTATTAACAATTTTTTTAATGTGACGTAAGTTCATCCGTTTGCGCTTAATGTACCGTGCGTGCTCTGCGTCATCGAATACCATGACATTATTTACTGAAAGTGAACTGCATATAGGATGTGCCGGAGTAATCGCGCTTCAATTGCCGTCGACAAAATATTTTATCGCTCCGTCCGAGTAGAAATTGGCGAGCTTGCAGTGGCGTGGTGGAGACATTTTTTTTTTTTTTAGAAGCAATGGCGGCTTTGCTCTTCCGTTTCCGCGACGAGTCTCGCGACTACGGCCGGAGGGTTCGAAACTTTTTTCTTCTCGAGATTTCTGCCACCCCCGACGCAGAGTTTTACAGTAATCTCTGTGCCAAAAGTCGATTGTGTTCTCCGTCTCGCACGCAGCACCCATATTCCCCCCCTTCTTCTTCTTTTTCTCTCGCACTACACCGAGTCTGCCGACCGCTTCGAGCGCCGGGATAAAGTCACGAGCAGTAATTATGAACGATAGCAGGGGAGAGAGAGGATATAATTGTGATTGATGGAGAGATGAGAAGGGAGGGGCAAGGGGTGACTTCCTTTTAATCTCGAAGCTAACCCTTTTTCGTTCATCCATTGCCGCTTCTGCCTGACCGACACCGCGTGCGGCGCGGCGCGGCGCGGCGCGACGCAGCGCGGCGACGCGATTTTATTACCTCGAATTGTATCTTCACGGGGAAGAACTCGGACACAGATTTCGTTTCATTCAAAATCGAAAGCTGAGAACGTATCAAATATTGAAGAATACATTTTTTTGCGATACTGAAACCGCGTATGACTGCAATTAAATTTTAATTTACTTTTATTTACATTTCACAATAGCTATTTTTGCAAACAGCTCTGAACGATGCGAAGCGCACATCTTATTTCTACAAAGTTATTTCAGTCTAAAACAAATGTGAGAGATGAAAATAGGGGAGCAAAAAGAAAATCTGGAGATTAAAAATATAAAATGACAGATTCGAGACTATTCAGCGATAATGCGTGAAAACATGAAATTAGAGAACCGAATCAATTTTCAGAGATGAAAGAACCAATTTTTTGGCTGTACATGGTTTCAATTCTTTTCCTAAAATATCACTTAAACATGTATTTAAAAATTTTATGTCAAAAAGTGAAGAAATGATTAAAAATATATTCCACTTCAAAAAATTAATAATTACTGTTCGGTATTCGGAGACGAGAATAATTACAAGCTATAGCCTAAACGGCGCTCTAAATCGTCGTTATAAAACACGAAAGAAAGCCTCGTAGCGAGGAAGCCCGACGTGCTGCTTCGTACGCGTATTATCCCCGATGCCTGGCTCTCCGCATGCGTGCGTGCGTGCGTGCGTGCATACATGCGTGCGTGCGTGCGTGTCGCATGCATGCGTATGTATTCGTATATGCATGCGTACGCTTGTGTGTGCGTATTCTCCTCTCCTTTTTCCGTCGCGTCTCTACGCACTCGACTCCACGCACCGTCGAGCGAGCGAGCGGGAGTCTGCGGATCAATGCGTGGCACTGCCACCGGTCGTCATGGCAACGAAGCGCGCGCCACGCACAACGAGCGAACGATCCGCGCGCCGATCGTGCGTAAGTGCGTGCCCTGAGTACGCGCGCGCGCGAACGTGTGCACGCACGCATACGCACATATATACGAATGCGAATGCTCACGCATACGCGCGCAGGACAGCCTCCTGCGACGTGCCGCGACGAGACCCGCGAAAGACCGCGTGCAGAGGACGATCGATGCCCCGTAAACTTCGCGATGTATTGCGAGCACGTGGCACACATGACGACGAGTCTACACGATCGTTAAACGTTTTAAATCTTTTAATCGATATTTCGCGCATGCAATTACAGCACGAATACAGAATAGGGTTGTCTGCATTGTCTGAAAAAATATTTAATTTATACAGAGTGTTTCAGAATAACCACAACAACGCTCATGAGCAGATAGAGGAGTGTAAAGCGAAAAGTTTGGTTGGTCGGCGAAGACGAAAGTATAATAACACGCATGCAAAACTTTACTTTTCGTTACCGTGCGATATTCTTACCGCTGGCACGGCTAGAACATACAATCTAGCCGCGCGAGAAGACGTGCACTTATTCGCGAAATGTTTTTAATTAATATCTCAATAATTATTACGAAATTTGCAAAACGACCTTTCTGTTCGGTTTACTTTCCCGTTCGTGAGCGTGCCGTGGTTATTCTGAGACATCTTTTTTTGGAAAACAATGTCACGCTGCACATCTCTTTGTCAAACACGAGAGAATAAAGATTAGTATTTCGTGAGATCCTGTGAATTATTATTTTAAAGGCAAAATTTTACCAAATTTGTTTATTCAACATAATTTGTTAAGAATACAGAGATACTTTGACTTTTTGTAGTTTAACATTTTGTGCTTTGTATTCAGGAAAATTGTTATTTTTTATTATTCTGAAGGCTGTTTCGGCTTGAAAATGAATATTGTCGAACGCACATTAAAGAAAATTAATATTTCTTAATGGAATAAAGGAAATTGGAATTATTTCATTTCAACACAAGAAGATGGAATAGATTATGAATTAGGAATAATTAATCCATTTCATTCTCTTGTTTAAAGTAAAATAATTCCAAATTGCTCTTCCTGATATTTCATATTTATTCTTATTCTTAATATTTTTTCTATTGTGTACGGAGCCTAATTTATCGAACATTTGAAGATATGTAAATTAATTTCACAATTCATCAGCTCGCATTCAGTGTCGATATCATTGGCATTAAAAGTATCATAAATTGAAATTTGAGAAAATAACTCATTGTCAGACGAGGAAAGGACATCAACAATCGAAAAGGACAATGCACAGAAATTGTCCTGATGTTTCGCAGCCGCTCGCGAGAACGACAGCGTCAGGACGCGGCAGATGTTTCTAACGAGCCTCGGCGAAAGAAAGTATCGATCGCGATATTACTGCGATTACTCGACCATCATA